CCTAACCCTGTGGGATCTAACCCTAACCCTGTGGGATCTAACCCTAACCCTGTGGGATCTAACCCTAACCCTGTGGGATCTAACCCTAACCCTGTGGGACCTAACCCTGTGGGATCTAACCCTAACCCTGTGGGATCTAATCCTAACTCTGTGGGATCTAACCCTAACCCTGTGGGATCTAACCCTAACCCTGTGGGATCTAACCCTAACCCTGTGGGATCTAACCCTAACCCTGTGTGTCCACAGGTGTCAGAGTTTATCCAGTCTCTCCCTGGCTGTGAGGAACAAGCCAAACAGTTCAGAGACGAGGTGAGACACGAGATGATGTCATTTGTAGTCTGGTTSAGAAGCACGGCCCAGGTGACAGTTTCTGCTCTGTGTTGCATTGATCTGTGAGATGAAGGAAAAGACGTAATGATTGGTCTGACACTGATGAAGCAGCTGATGTTTAAGGAATATGACAATGAGAACAGCTGTGATCTGATTCCTTCTTACTTCTTTTTAGCAAATAGATGGTCGAGCCTTTCTTCTGCTCACCCAACAGGACATCATCAGGATCATGTCAATCAAACTTGGCCCGGCACTCAAAATCTACAACTCCATCCTGATGTTTAAACATGCCAAGGACAAGAGCCAATCACATGCTGAGAATAACAGCCAGTCACACATTCAGGATTCTAGCACCTGACACATGAAACTAGGGACTACATGAACTCTAAAGTCCTGCCCCTACATTTCTGTCCCCTCCGCTCAGCCTAGTATCATCCAATCACTAATCAGATTTGAACAAGTGATGTCACTCTGAGTTCAGGTGTCCTGCAGAGAGAAAGGCTGCTGCCATCTTTGTGTCACTCCACATCCAGGCATCGGAGCTTCATTCCAGGCTCCACCCCTTTGTGGAGGCTGAACTTAGAACCCGTGAGTCCAGTCTGAAAAGGATTCTGGGATGTAGAGAAACATCTGTGGTGATGATGTTCAGGTTGAACATCTGGGTCCAGACCCTGAAGAGTTTCTGTGTTGCATCAAAACAAAAGTAAACAACAACAATTAAAATAAAAAACACGGTAGGACTGATTGTGGCTGAACATTTACAGAAATATTAAATATTATTTATATGAAGTTACTGTAATCTGATAAAACAACAACTAAAACATAAATACAAGCACAAGTTGGTAGAACAGGAAATATGATTTGATTGAAAGTCTTACTATTAAAAGTTCTATGAACAAATAAAAAGTTTGACTACAAATCAGTAATACAGAAAACAGACAAACATGTTGGAAGTCGTTATGAAAAGTGTTGCTGAGGTGTTAAAGTTATTATCTTGTTATTAACATGCCAAATAGATGTCTTTACCATGTTAATAAGATAATGTAAAAAGATGTTGATGGAAAGTCATGAATATGTGATGTCATATCACAAAGATGATTTTATTTTATTTTTTTACCGTTATTCTACGACATAAATGGATGTTAATGACATATTAATGACATGTTAAGACAGCTGTCATGTCAACCAAATGTCTTTCATGTAGGTGAGTCGGAAACATATTGATCAGGTGTTTTATATTAACATTAATGTTTCTTTGACACATTATGTTAATGAGATCAAACATAATGAGATTGAGACAATAATGTGYGATTACATGTTAATAAGACATTGTATTCTAAAGAAAATGTCATGGTCATGTTGGTGTTTTGTTATTGTCCTRTTTTTAAGAAAAGTTATCTTATTAATGAGGGGATGATGTTGGTGTGTCTTCTTCATCTTTACATGTTATTAATATGTCACCCAGCTGACATATTTGAGAGATGGTGATGTAATATTAAAATAATAATGTGTTAGAGATTTTGTCATCATGTTTATGATATCACTCATATGTTAYTGACGTTAAAATTTCACCTCAACAAGATGTTTTTAATAACATGATATTGAGATCATGTTTTAATGAGATTGCATGTTATGTTAAGTTATGTTATGTTATGGAGATATCATGTTAAAACACTTGAAGTAATAACAATAAGGTATTATCATGTTTATGTAATGTTATTGACATGATATCTCTTCTGTGGTGAGTTTCTAAATAAGCTAGTGATGAAAAGTTTGTTCGGGGTGTTATGTTAATGACATGTTAATGAGTTAGAAATTATGTCTTTTTCCTGTTTGGAAGTAGACAGTATGTTAACATCTATGTCATTAATATAGTATTCTCATTATTGAAATGTTAAGATGCTGAAGTACCATTACGCTAACAAGATGTTAATAAGAAGATGTAGCAATACTAAACTAATTGGACCTAACAAGTTGTCATTAAGATAATTGGGTATCATTATTATAATAATTGTTATGAGAATCATTATGTTACTGAGATATCACCAATAGGTTAATGAGGTACATGGATAATATGTTAACGAGATACATGAATAATATGTTAGAGATATCTGTCTAACATGTTAGAGATATCTGTCTAACATGTTAGAGATATCTGTCTAACATGTTAGACAGATATCTCTAACATGTTAGAGATATCTGTCTAACATGTTAGAGATATCTGTC